CTGCCTATCCCTTCTCCCTGTTAAGTTAAAAGAACCTGGCTGCAGGTATATCCTTCTCAAGGAGCTGCTGGAGCAGACGGCCAGGCTGCTGCAAGAAATCAGCAGCCTTAGGAGCGCATGGACATATCTGAGGGAGACAGATAGGAGGAGGTGTGAGCCTACTTCCACTGCAGAAACGCAGCCTTATCCAATGTCCCTGCAAGTGGCAGTAGCCCATCCAGCTGCTTACCTTCAGGTCAGGGATGTAGACAGCCCATGAGAGGAAAGGGGTTGGACCCTCATCTCCGCTCAAAGCAGAAGAAAGCATCTGCCCCCAAGCCCCCACTGCATTGCCAACCCCTGCAATGTCCCCTACAGTGTCCCTGAGTAGCAGAGTCGAGGCCCTCTCCCCGCAGGAGAGGGATAGCAAAGAGTAGTCCAAACTCATGCCCTGAGAAGCACACTGAGAGTACAGGGAGTAACAGGCAGAGGGAGCGGGGCCCGTCAGGCACTGCATCAATACCAGTGCCACCAAAAAAGGGCGGAGAGTCTTGGTAACTGGGGACTCCTTGCTGGGGAGCACTGAGGCTCCCAGTTGCCACCTGGATAATCGCTCCAGTGAGGCGTGATCTCTTCCAGGGGCACGTGTTAGAGGCATCAGGAAGGTTCGTCTGTGGCTCATTAAGGCACAAGACTGCTCTCCTACTGTCACTCAGGCTGGGACCCAGGATGCTGCAATGAGGAAACTAAATAATTATTTAAAAGGACTTTGCATCCCTTGGAAAGATGCTGAAGGGATCAGGGGTGCGGGCAGAATTCTCCTGTGCCCTTCTGGTGGGTAGCTGGGAGCCAGGAAGATGGAGGAGAACGTGTCAGGTAAATGACTGGCTAGGGGATGACGTCTCGATCAAGGCTTTGGGCGTTTTGGTCTCGGGCAGGCCTTAGAGAAATTTGGTATATGGGCTCCTGATGGACTCCGAGTGAGCAAGCAGGGCAGAAGCGTGCTGGGGAACAAGCTCTCTGCGTCCAGGTGTGGAGCCCCCAGTACAAAAAAGACAGGCAGCTGTGGGAGAGGGTCCAGAGGAGGGCCACGAAGATGATCAGGGGACTGGAGCACCTCCCCTGTGAGGACAGGCTGAGGGAGCTGGGCTTGTTCAGCCTGGAGAAAAGAAGGCTGCGGGGTGACCTCACTGCAGCCTTTCAGTACCTAAAGGGAGCCTACAAACAGGAGGGGAATCAACTCTTGGAAAGGGCTGACAACTGCAGGGCGAGGGGAAACAGCTTGAAGTTGAGGGAGGGAGATTTAGGTTGGATGTCAGGAGGAAATTCTTTAGAGAGAGTGGTGAGGTGCTGGAACAGCTGCCCAGAGAGGCTGTGGATGTCCCGTCCCTGGAGGTGTTCAAGGCCAGGTTGGATGCAGCCCTGGGCAGCCTGGTCTAGCGTTAAATGGGGAGGTTGGTGGCCCTGCGTGTGGCAGGGGGGTTGGGGATTCTTGGATGATCCTTGAGGTCCTTTCCAACCCTGGGCCATTCTGCGATTCTGTGATTGATTACCAGGCCTTTATACTAGGTCCAAAGGGGGAAGGGATGGGAGACAGATGTGACAGAGAAGGGCTGAGGGAACGTTACAGCTGTTGGAGTTCGTAGGTAAAAACCTCCAGGTTGTCCCATTCAGACAGAGCTACCCCATGAATCACAAGGGTCAGAGGTGTCTCATTCAGACCGACATACCCTATGAAGCAAAATGGTCAGCTTGTCACAACGGTCTTCTGATCTAGGCCAGTTTCCTCCTAGCGTTTTGAAGATTTCGACATTGTTTCTACTAGGACAGAGTAGACATCAGTTACTTGGACACATACTTCAGAAGAATTTGAAATTCTCTCTCTAAAAGGGAGAGCCTTCTGAAGAAAAAGCAAGTTTTCTTAGAATACGGTGTTTCAGTTTTGTTATTGTACATTTTTCAAGCTAAATAAAGCACTCATATTGCTTCACATTTTTGTTTACTTCAATTTGCTTGTGCTTTATGTCCCACGGTGCCACAACTACTGCATTTCAGGGGGAAGATGATACCTCCCATTCCTTACCTGCAAGAACTCTGTCTCATTACGCTACTTTATTCTGCACTGTCAGTTCTAGACAGCATTGAACTTTGGTTTTCTGATCTCAATCTGCTTCCCTGCCAGTTTTTATTATGAAGTATTTTGACTCCCAACACACTGCCCAGCCTGCCACGCTGGAACGATGCTGCAGCCTTTGCATCTTGTGAACATGACTGATGTGGCAGCTGTTATAGATCTGTGCATGCCGGGGAGAATAGTTGTCTTTTCCATACATGCTAATACTTTCTATCATCTCCTTATCAATTTCCAGAAGCTAACAGGGCATACGCACAAGCAAAACGTAAGGCAAACAGGCTTTTACTTATGGCTTTGTGCTTACCTGTTCTTAAACACTTCCCTGCTCATATATCTCACAAATCTGTTTCAACCTCTAAAATATTCTTAGAAGCATTAAAATTTCTGTTTTGTCACAAGTAAAACACCCAAATACAGAGCGTCATTAGGTTGTGTTCAGAATCTAAGATAACCACTTACAGGCCAATTTTGATACTGAACTTCCCCCTTCATTTTTCAAATTCAATTTTATTATTTGCAAAATAATACAAAGGGTACTAACAAAGTTTCCAAATTCTGCCCTAAAAACAACCCTTTGAGAAAGTATATTGTCACTTTTTCAAATAACATTTCAAAAAGTGTCAGCTCATGCTGTACATAAAGAGGCACAGTAGTTGTTTCATACCCGCATCTGCTGTCCCTTACGCAAGAAAGTTTTAATATTTAGAACAATAAAAAAATAAAAACAAGCAGATTTTGGAAGAATATAAAAATTAACAAAACATCCAGTTTTATTTCTCACACAGCTCAGCAGCTTTAGAAATCAAGTAAGAATTCATACACAGCAAACGTTTTTCTTCTTTATCACGTGAACGTTGTATTGCTTGGTCCAGCCAACTCCACTGGGTTTGACCATACCAAAACATCTGCATTGAAAGAAGTCTGCAAGATTCTGGAAGCATCCAAGACTGAAAAATGAGAAATACTCATTAATAAACCTACAGAAGACAACAGCAGGCATTAACAATACGTGATCCCTAGGGAAGCAGTAGTTAAGGGATAAAGCTGTCGGCAAAGACAGCTCTAAGAGAAGAAACACAACAATGTTCTATTCATCATTACTCCTTTGTTGACATTTTTTAACCTGCGTCACGTTTAATAGGGATAGAAGATGGAGTTCAACTCAAATTTTTGAAGTTAATGCTAAGGAAGATTTCATCTGCTAGCACATGAGGAAATAAAGATTTTTAGTATAACAGGGAAACTTTGGTAGTAATTTCTTTATGAAGCTAAAAGAATTCAGAAAGGGCTGGTTCGTAACAAAGTTCCCCCCCTAGACCTAAAGAACAGACACAGAGAATGATGAATAACTCAAGGACACTGTCCTCCCTGCCTCTCTCTTCCTCTTGGCATAGCTCAGAACAGGCGTGACCAGCGTGCCCACAGATGGCTCAGGTTTGGCATTCTTGCAGCAGTGAAGCAGGCCAGAACTGAAGGGAAACACAGCTGAAACACCGCACACTACAGCACTTACTTGTATGGATTTCTCCTGAGTGAAACAGGATGCTTAGAAGATTTGCTCTCCATCAGGAGGTTCACTCTCTCATGTGAGGTCAGTCCCAAGAATGCAGTCTTAGAGAAAGAAAAACACGAGTAACGGCTGAAATATGAACATCACAAATTTAAATACTGGCAATACCAAAAGATAATCTTTAATGGGGAGGGATTGGGAAGACGTTGGCCATATCTAACCACTAAGTAACTCCTGCCACATTTAGGGACTTACAAGTTGATCTTAAGTTTCACTTAAGCCAAAAGAGAATCCTAAGCCATGTTAAAAAGCTGTTTCTTAGGTGGTTCAGAAAGCTCTTAACCTCATTTGCTTAGCCAACACCTCCCGGAGAAGGACAAACATAAAGAAATTTGACAGCCCTTATGGGGATGAAATTCAGGTCACGTTTTCATTGCGGCAACCTAATAACAAACTGCTGAACTCTGCTGTGGAATTTCCAACTTGAGTTCACAGGCCATTTTGGGACAGTAACAACAGCTTAGCTCAACCTTAGTTAAACACGTTAGTTAAACATGTTTCACAATCAGAAAGACCAACCCAATGGAAAGGGGACACAAGAGGTGCAATGACAGAGGGACCAGAGCAACAGAAAACAATCTTTTCCCCTTCCCTTATAACACCTCCCTCATCTCCACAGATCTAGGCTCACAGGGGAAAACTCCACCAGGGAGGGATCTCCAGAAAGAGCTCCTTCCCCAGGGGCAGTCAGCCCTTCATTGGGGCCTAAGAGAGGTGCAGCCAGGCTCCACCCCTTCCAGTCACACAGCTGAACTGCCTTCACCTGTGCTCCCAGGGCTGACCCAGTCCTTTCCCCAGGGGCTCCATCAGTGGCTCAGGCTGTGACTCAACAGTTCCCACACAACAGGCTAGAATTTTTGACAACAGTGCCATTAGAATTCAGATATAGGAATGCTTTGCAGAATGGATCCCACTTTTAACATCAGAATAACAAGTGCACACGTACCCGTGAAACTTGAAAGGACTGCTCTGAGGTTTAAGGGGAGCACCCAGATATGACGTCAGAATAGGAAAGCAGGTGCAATGCCTTTAAGGCAACACATCACTTAGGGAAACATGTTCATGTGGTAGCTCATGACGAGAGGAATGTGAACTGAAGCAAAATAATCCCTGGTAGAGCTGACTAGTTAGCCACAATGAAGCCCATACAGCATGGAAGCAGGCTAGCATGAAGATGTAGAACAGCCATGGAGAACAAGAAGTTATCTGCGTGAAGTACGTCCATGTCCATCTGCATGGTAACTTGTTATGCAGTGGTTTGACCAATCTGACAAGGTTCACAATCATTTCGTTACCTTTCTAACATTGACCACTCCTGTACTAAGCAAAGAATATTTGCACAAAGTGTTGTAGAGCAGTGTGCTCTCAAAACACCGCTTCCCACTCAAAACACTCACATGGATACACCACTGCTTGCTGCTCTCGTTGCACAACCTTTACTTTCTGTGTCCATAATCCACAGAGGGAACATTCCAACAGCTGGCTGGACACTTTGTTCTCTTTTTACATTAAAGTGAACTAGTGATATTGAAATAATAATTACCTCTCGTCGTCCAGCTTTCTGAAATTTTGCTGCACCCTAATTATTAGTTTTAGGATTTGTCTTAAACACCGCCACCAACAAAAGAAGATTGTAACAGTGACAAGAAAGCAGTACTGTTCACACTATTAAACAAACTAACTGGAATATTCAGCTCCTGTAGATTTCTAAGAGATGCTCAAAGCCTATGACAAAGCCTATTAAAAAATACAAAACCAGTAAAGGTCAGTACAGCAATCAAGTGGTTTTCCTCCCCTGTTCACGTGAACACGGAAAACAGAAAACATTGTACTTCTGCACACTTAAGACCACACTGAAACACAGGAAAGCAACTCACATTCACTCTGTGTCCACCACTGCCATACCTGGTTCATTTTACTCCAAGTAGAACACTGACTCATTTCTACAATACAGAACCCCAGAACAGCTTAGGCTGGAAGTGACCTTAAAGATCACTCAGTTCCAACTCCTGAGATGGGGATGGAACTAGACTGAGTTGCCCATTTGTGCAGTTATAATTAGTTATGCTAGCTAGGAATAAAAACCATACACAGGTCCCTGACAGCTAAATTGGAGTAAGTTCACTGATACATACACAGAAGACTTCGATAAAGCAGCCAGACACTGGTCACAGTTAAGGAAGACAGGAACAACAGGTAGTAATGATAGTTCCCAACACCTACATTCGAGTCAAGGAAGAAGAAAAAAAACCAGCATGACATTTTAAGAATTTTGCAGTACTTGTATTTCTCCTCCACTTTACAGGAAAAAGAAGAATCTAAAGCACTTCCTACTATTACCTCTGCTGTCCTCAAGACATTTTGACAAAGCTGATCTCTCTCGACTTTCTCCTGTAAGCCATTTCCGTTTATATAATAGAATCAGTTCTGGTAAAGTCAGCCAGCATTTGTCTCTTCTTTAGAGCACATCCCTGTTAGCTGGACGGGGACTCATTATGCTAACACAGCTCTGCCCATGCACTGCACAGTTGTCTTGGAAGACTGAAAAATCTGTACTATTCAATTTCATTGCTTCACCTTGATGTGTCCTAAAACTGCTAGCTCTTAAAAAAATAGATTTCTATCAGATAAGACTCTTGGGCAACTCTCAGTAATGCCTGCAGTCTCTACAGTGTGCTTTTGCATCAGGTTTGCTCTTTAAGTAGATAAATGTTATTTCTGCAACAGCTCTTAAGGCATGAAATTTTCAGCTTTGATAAAGCAAAGACTCTTACCTGTGCACTGTGCAATTCACAGAGAATGCTGATCATATCTGGCTACACATGAATCACAAGGAACGCAGTGCACAGATCTCAAAGGCTTCCTTACCTGTTTGAGCACAAAGGAAAGGAATACAGTCAGAGTAAAAGCAGCTGCTTTGACCAAAGCTCAGAGCATCACCTCACGGGCACTAGCATATTTTATAACTATTAGTATATAGTGGGCCTCCAAAACAGAACACAGATGAGAAGTTTTCTAAACCTTACAAAAAAAAAAAAGACAGAAAAAGATGGAATTTCTATTGTTTTTTTTTAAATTAATAATGAAACCCAACGATCTGAAAACTGCTTTGCCACCAGAAGTGAGCAAATGAAATCTACCCAGAACAAGCAGCGTATGTAGCACTCGCATGACAAGGAGAAAAACAGGTATTGTACTGAACTACTACTGACTGAAAAATAGGTTTCAAAAAAGCAAAGGAATATCAAAACCTTACTTACAAGACATGACGTGCAGAATGTTCTGAAGTCCAAGCACCCTGCTTCTGCTAGAGCTGCAATGTTCTGAAAGACAGAAGAGTTTCTGCGTGCACTTGGATGACGTTTTATGGGACCTATGAAGATTTGTACGTGAGGCCTTTTGCAGACACTGAGCACTTGGAGTGCCGAGCAACAACACGTGGAAATACCTGCGGTTCTGGAACAGAGAAAAGGGCCACAAGAAGGCAGGGACTCGTGCAACCTCACTCACATTGAATTATTTAGGAAAGCAGCCCTCCCCCACACAGTCAGCCAGACTTCAAAAGGGATGAGGACAGAAACTTTTTCAACACCATTGCAAAAAGACTGTAAGTATTGCCTACCTTGCCCTGATAAGCACTCACTGGTTCTCTGTGGGCACCAGATAGCCAATATTCACCAGTTCTGTGGCCACAATGCCAAAAAAGTTAAAATTGCAGTTTAATCTCCCTGGCAAGCAGGAGAAACATAACCATGTGGAGAACGAAAGGAGACTGTAAACCACACGGTGTCACAGTCACTAGCTTAAAGGAGCAAACAAGTAACCTCCTACTGACTGGTAGTGCATTTCCTTTTTCTGTCATTGTAAAACACAGCTAGAAAATACTGAATATCTGAAGATGCTCATCATTGCTAGCCTTCAGTACGGACAACCTTAGGAAAGCACTGTACCTCCTTCTCACCAGAGACAGCTAGAACAAAAACCTTACAAGAGTGTTATTTATTAAGTGAAGTATCTGTGACTTTATGGTTTATAGGTTATAGCAAAAGCACCAGGCCGTACCATGCTTGGCTGAAGCTCATATTCCAATGAGAAGACCGAGTCCAGGAAATAACAGCAAGGTGCTGAAGATAAACCCACAGCATGTTGGATTTATTATCCAACAACCTATGCTGCTTGATGATACAACTAAAATCTCAAAGATACATTTGATGATAAACGAGTCAATCAGAAGTGCAACCATGGTGCAGTTTGTCAGCTTACCTCTTTTTTGTCTTTTTCTGAAGACTTAATATATCCAGGATCAGTCCTCCGGGCTTTATAGAAAAAATAAAGAAGACCCACTAGGATGAACATGACAGGGATCTCAACAATGGCATTGGTCACATGTAACAGTTCGATTAAGGAATATATTCTCTCACTATGTTTTGCCAAATAAATATTCTACAATCAGAGTGTGGTATTTCACCAGCAATACACAAAAACAAAAAGAACGGCATTGACCTCTACAGAGCAAGTGTTTGATAGAAAGAGCAAAACATAACCTCACTAAGCTACAACCCTTAGGAATATTGCTGTGTTCATCATCTTCTGCAGAACGTCTACCTTTAACCCCTACAGTTAGAATTCTTGCTTTCGTTTAATTTAGACGACGCCAAGAAAACCTTAGAACGTCACAAAGCAACAGTTAATAACAGGATTTTCATGGCAACGACCATACATGTGTATCCTTCACAGGCATGCATTATAGCTGTTTTTTTTTAATTGATTTTTAAAAATTCACTCGGTATTCATTAAGCCTCTGTTAAAGCTGTGGAAAGTGAAAGTGCTGTTTCTGCATTGAACACTAAAAAACACTGGGAACTTTGTGGGACACCCCGGAGGAGCAGTGGGTCCAGCAAAGTTAATCACACTGAGAAAGATCCTCTGCAAGTGCACTTCTGTCCTCCTCCACACAGAGGATGGCCACAAAGATGATCAGGGGTCTGGGGCACCTCCCCTATGAAGACAGGCTGAGGGAGCTGGGCTTGTTCAGCCTGGAGAAAAGAAGGCTGTGGAGTAACCTCACTGCAGCCTTCAGTACCTAAAGGGAGCCTACAAACAGGAGGGGAATTCAACTCCTGGAAAGGGCTGACAACTGCAGGACGAGGGGAAATGGCTTGAAGTTGAGGGAGGCCTCCGTCGCTTCTCCTTTCTCCTTTGCTGTTTTTAATATTCCCAACATCAAACCCCATGTCTGAAGTGCCGCACCCGACTGGGCGCTCATCGTATGCTCCACAAGAGCTGCAGTAATCTCATCCCACTCCTTGGGATCTAAAATACCTCTGGGGTGCTCACAAACCCCCTCCCGCACTAATCGGGATGCCTCTGGAAGTCCACCTTTGTCTGTACCATTCTGCTGCCAGTGGTTCCCACTGGGGATTCCTGTTGGCACTGCCTAAACGGTCCTCTGCCACGTCCTCCCCGCTGGCGCTCCGTGCTGCCCTCGCAGCCAGGACTGCTCCTGCAGGTTCTGAGACTGATTGCACAGACTGTGGCGATGAGGTCGGTCTTCTCCCAGGAGATTCCTGCTGACAGGGCCCTTTCTATCCCCTGCTGTCAACACAGCTAAACACCAGCTATGGCTGCTGTTGTTCCCAACCTGTTTACACCGCCCTGCTCCTCTCTGCTCAGTGCAGTGCTGTTGTTGCTGCTGTATCAAGCGATATGTGCTTGTGTGGTTAAGTGCTCATTTCTTCCCACAGTGAGGTCCAGCTGTTTTCCTCCTCCTCTTTAGACATCTGTCATAAGCGCAGAAATGCCATGAAAAATCTCTTACTGTGCTGCCAGGTCTGTGTCACGTTTTCCTTGGGAGATGCAGGCAACTGATGTAATTTCTCTTTGCTCTGCTTCTTTGCAAGGCAGTGGGGATTTCTCTCTTGTGCATACTGTGGGAATAAATACTTCACAAATTGCGAGGCACTCAAATACTTTTTGAGCAGTTTTGGGGGCCGTATATGGGTCAGGATAAGTGAGGAAGCAGCAGTCAAATTAGGACCCAATCCTGCAAACACACGCCTGAGTCTCCTTTTCATGACTGAAGCCAAGTTTTCCAAACTGATCCTAGTCTTGTGAGGATGACTGTGTCCTGGACAAGGTCATCCGGGATCCTTTGAGGATTATAAATCGTACGTTATGTGGCTTCAGAGTTTCTTTTAATGTAGCCTCTCCATTTGTTCCCAGTTCCTACGTGCTTTGCTATTGAGTGAGTCATCAAAAGCTGCTGTTTTGACGCTTTCCCTTGCCTTACATGTATGATTTATTTTAACAAACTGGATCTCCGGTTTCTCACAACCTGGAACTCTTTTTTTCAGTTTATCAAGGGGACAGATGGTCAGAGTCAGAAGCTCCTGGTGGATCAGTTGGAGCTCTGCTCCCCGTCCCTGCAGAAATTATGTGCCAAGCAGCTACAGGATCAAATTCCCATTGAAGCTCTAGATTTTACTACGAAGCTTCCTAGAGTGCTGTCCTTACACATCTTCTCCTTCCTGGACCCACAGAGTCTCTGTTGATGTGCACAGGTTAAAAAAAAAAACAACACATGCTAAGATTCAGAAAGTCAGGTCAAGAAAGATAAAACAAGAAACAGGACCAGGTTACAATAAAGCTGTAGGAACGCAAGAATGCCTTGTGACCTGGCACCCTGGTGCTATATGCTTAGTGACACTCGTATGAGATAGAACACAGCACTTCCCCAGATCCTAAATTAAATCAAATTGGCCAATGTTTATGAAAGTGAAGACTAATTTTGGGAGCTCTGCTCTAAGCCGTTTAACATGCGGCACTTTACAAGGCTGATTGTTCTCAAGAAGGAGGCCTGGCACTTTCTGAAAACCATGTTCTTTAAAGTATCTTGCACAACGTGCAGAATCATTAATTGTTTTAAGAAGCCCATGGTGGTTGTAAAGAAGTGCATACATTGCTTTAAGAAAAATAGTAAAAACCAGATCCATTAAAATACTTGAAGGTGAAGTGCTGGACATGCAGAAGCAGAGAAGTTATCAATGTGCTTTTCAGCACACTGTCTAAGGATGTCTGCTAATATGTTTTCATGCCTTGAAGTGATCCCCAAGCTAGTTCTGAATGAATAAGCTCAAATATGGGTGACATGATTACTGCACTAACAAACATAGTACACCATATATTACTACTAATACATCAAAATCTCAGCTTGTGTAAAGCTTTCTCTAGTATTTCTCTCCAACAATTCATTTTTTATGAAGATGAAGCACAGGTATTCATGCACAGACAGGGAGAAAATAGATTAGGGTATGAGAAAGGAAGGTCCTTACAGTGCTACTTCTGTCATATCATTGAATATTTGCTGTTATAAGCACAATTGTGCAAACAGATGATGCTTGCCCTTAGGCTAGAAGAGGTATTGCATGCAAGGTGACTGTGCAATGGACTATAAAAGCAGAACATGAGTAGGGAGAAAACTGAATGTGTCTATGAGACCTGGGGGGGTTATTTTTGTTTTTGTCAGCAAAATGCAATAAAAGGTTTGTTCCAACTCCTATGCACTTACTGGGTAGAAATACAGGAAGTTGCCCTAAGTAAGCTGAAGTCTTTCCTTTTGACTAGTGATTTTTAGAGCGTTTCGCCCTGCACTGGAGATCAGCCAACAAACAATGAGCAGATCATGAGGAAAGTTACAAGACCAAAGGT